TCTAGAGTAGAGAGATACAAAATAATTACTCCCGAAGGAACAGAAAGCTCCTCAATGATGGTCTGAAATGGAAGGACAGCCAGCAAGGTGACTGTTACTCTGCAGTTAAATCCAAACCAACGGTGGTGACAAGAAGATGCACCAATCATGCCATTCAAAGAAAAGATGAAGAAAAGTATTTTGCACAGTAGCTAAAAGAGTGGATTGTAAATAGTCTCACCACAGAGAAATAACATGTATGTAAGAAGATGCATATGTTTCATTGTTCTACAAGGTATAGATATATCATAACACCACACCGTACCACATTAATGTATACAATTATTATTTATCAAAAAAAATTTTTTTTAAGTTTTAGACTTTTGGCCATAGGGTGTGTGTGCTCACCAGAGAGAGACATAGAAAGAGGGAAAGTGAAAAAGCACCCCAAAGAGGGGATAGCCATGCCACAATCCTTTCTCCTTCATCCTTTTCTTGGGATTTTGGGCACACACACGCACACATACACACACATACTCAGTGTGTTTTTCAGGCCACTGGGTCTGGGACTCAAACCATGGAGTCGCCATCTGGAATCTACCATACCACCTGGTGGTCCCAATTTTTTTTTTTTTTTGAAGAGGTTTTTGCTATAAGGCACGTGCGTTCGCCAGACAGACAGAGAGAGACATAGAGACAGAAAGCGAGAAATCTCCCCCCGGGGGGATGGCCATGCCGCAATCCCTTCTCCTCCATTCTCCTCTCGGGATCTTGGCCACGCATGCACAGGTGCCCGGTATGAGTTTAAGCCACAGGGTCCAGGACGCGAACCGCGGTCGACTATGTGGGAGTCCAGCGACATAGCCATTATGTTAACTGCTGGTCCCCCAATTTTTTATTTTTATTTTTTAACGTTTGGTTAGTTCTGAGTTTAAATTTAATTGATGTGGGCTAACTACAGTGCAGTGGGAACACACAGACCCACATAGAAAGGTCCTTGGTTCACATCCTGAGATCTTCCTTTGCACACGTGTTTGCACATGTGCCCAAGGTCCAGGCTGAGACAGGTGGGGCACAGTATTAAGATCCTGTTATGAGTTTCTTTTTATCCAGCGACATCTCAAAAGAAATAAATAAACTTAAAAAAAAACTAATAGATGTTAAGATTTCTATATTAACCACAAATAGAAAGAGAATATACGATGTCTAATCTAGTAGAGAGAGAAAATGGAATAAGAAAATGTCAAGCAGTCTGCAAGATGGAAAGAAAGAAGGGAACAGCAGATGGCATAATGTTTACATCATTGGACTCCCACATGGCCACCACGGTTCAAGTCCCAGACTCAGCAGCTTGATATTCACACCAGATGTGCGTGCCTGCATGTCCAAAATCTCAAGAGAAGAATGGAGGAGAAGGGATTGCAGCATGACCATCCTCCCCAGGGGGTGATATCTCACTTTCAATCTCTCCATATCTCTCTATGTTTTCAGCGAGTGCACACACTCTATAGTGAAAGTCTCTCTCTTTCTCTTAAAAAAAGTTTAAAAAGATGTAAAGAAAGGAGAAACAAATGTAACATAAACAAGGAGAAAGGTAGGAATCTTTTAAAAATAAACACAAAAATGTAAATTTGTGAAAATAAAAATTTTAATATTGGCAATTATAACCAACATAAATGGAATAAATTTTTAGTTAAAGGCAAAGATGTGTTGGAATGGATCTTATTTTTTTAATTTTTAGATTTTCGCTGTAGGGTATGTGTACTCACTAGAGAGAGATACAGAGAGAGGGAAAGTGAAAAACTATCCCCTAGCAGGGATGGCCATGCTACAATTACTTCTCTTTCATTCTCCTCTCAAAATTTTAGACATGCACTTACACTTGCCCAGCATGATTTTCAAACCACCAGGTCTGGGACTTGAACCACAGTCAGCCATATAGGAGCCCAGCATCTTAACCACCACACCTCCTACTGGCCCTCAAATGGGTTTTAAAAAGCCCCAACTAGAGTGGCTGGCAGGTAGCATGGTGGTTAAGGGCATTGGATTCCCACTATGGCTGACTATGGTCCAAGTCCTGGGCTTGATGGCTTTCTTCCTCTCTCTCTCTCTGGTCAAATTAAAATAAAGATAAATCAAATAACTTTTTTTTAAAAAAAAGCCCCAGCAGGGAACCAGCAGTTAGCATAATGGCTATGTTGCTGGACTCCCACAGAGTCGACCGCGGTTCGTGTCCCGAACCCGGTGGCTTAGAACTCATGCTGGGCGCGTGTGCGGGCATGCCCAAGATCCTGACAGGAGAATGGAGAAGGGATTGCGGCGTGACCATCCCCCCGGGGGGTGATTTCTAGCTTTCTATCTCTATGTCTCTCTCTGTCTGGGGAGCGCACACACCCTATAGCGAAAACCTCTAAAAAAAAAAAAGCCCCAGTTAGGGGGCTGGACAGTGGCATGCAGTGGTAAAACATGATGCATATGGGGACCAGCAGTTAGCGTAATGGCTATGTCGCTGGACTCCCACGTAGTCGACTGCAGTTCGCGTCCTGGACTTGGTGGCTTAAAACTCAAGCTGGGCACATGTGCGTGTGTGCCCAAGATCCCAAGAGGAGAACGGAGGAGAAGGGATTGCAGCATGGCCAGCCCCCCTGGGGGGTGATTTCTCGCTTTCTGTCTCTCTGTCTCTGTCTGTCTGGCGAGTGCACGTGCCCTATAGCAAAAAAAAAAAAAAAAAAAAAAACCATGATGCATATGGGTTTTTTAATTTGTTTAAGAATTATTTATTTTATTTTATTTTTCAATTTGACTAGAGAGACAGAGAGCCACCTGTCAGCCCCAGTTTTTTAAAAGAAGTTTTTGCCTCATGGCACATGTGCTCACAGGGGAGAGGGCAGGGAAATAAACAGAGAGAGTGAGAGGGAAAGTGAGAAATCGCCCCCTGGGTTGATGGCTGCAATCCCTTCTCCTCCACTCTCAACCTGGGACTGGGCATGCGCACACATGCACCTGGCGTGTTTTCAAGCCAGCAGGTCCAGGACTTGAAACACAGTCAGCCATGTGGAAGTTCAGCTATGTAAGCACTATGCCAACTGCCAGCCCCCACGTGTTAGTTAGCCTAAGCATTCCACAGTGACTCAAAGCATCAACCTATATAACATAAATATATACCATTTTTATTTGGCAATTAAAATTCTAGAAAGATACATAGAAAAGAGGCAGTGCCATGGTTTTGGGTGGAAGGGCATGAAAGAGAAGTCCTCACGTGTCAATGAGGCTGAATGGGAAGGGTGGGTCACAATTACGCGAACAAAGACGTTTCCAAGCCTGGACTGACATCAGGGACCGGAGGAGAGATGGCCCTGGTTAGTTACTTGAGGGTGAGTCAGAGGCAGGAGTGTAGAGAAGCATAGAAATTCCTTGACACACAAATGTTAAACTCTGAATTTAGGTGAGGCAAGGCAAAAGCATATCAAAAGCGTCTGCCAACAGGTGGCGCCAGAGTGTTATTTACGAAGGAAAGAGGAGTTGGCAGCCAGACCGGGATGTAATTGTGGAGCTGGCGAGAAGCCGAAAAGATCAACAATGGCACTGTATCCACATTCCCTGAAGTCCGTTACTTAGTCTGGTCGGTTGTATGGACCTACTTGGCACGATTATGGTTTGTTCTCATCAACTAGGTAATCGACGTGGAAAGGAATGTAATAATCCTGGGAGCTCGGCGCTGTACCTGGGAGGTCGGCGTTGTGCCTGGGAGCTCAGTGCTGTACCTGGGAGCTCATTGCTGTACCTGGGAGCTCTGCGCTGTACCTGGGAGCTCATTGCTGTACCTGGGAGCTCTGCGCTGTAGCTGGAGCTCAGTGTTGTACCTGGAGTTCATTGCTGTACCTGGGACCTCAGTGTTGCACCTGGGAGATTAGTGTTGTACTCAAGCCAGCAGGTCCATACCTGGGAGCTCATTGCTGTACCTGGGAGCTCAGTGTTGTACCTGGGAGCCCAGTGCTGTACCTGGGAGCTCAGTGCTTTCCCTCCTAAGGTTTCTGAGCCCTTTGTATAGCTGGGAGCCATACAAGTGGGTCCAGCAGTGGTGACCATCTACCATGACAGAGGAAAACTGGCACACTTACATAGGCAGAACAAAGCCACCTGCAAAACTCCAGACGGCAAATTGCAGCAGTGTTAGAGAGTGTGGCTGAAGGGGGCCAGGTCTTGCATAGAGCTGAGGAGCTGGGTGCTGTCTGATAAAGTGCTGTACCTGGGAGCCTCAGCGCACAGAACTTTAAATTGGAAAATGAGAGCATTTCACGTCCGGGAGAGGTAGCTGCCCATTAAGGCCACAGGAAAATCACTGTAGCCCTTGGTCTTTTCCCAGTCTCTGAGAAGCTTCGCAGACCCCTGCACCATCTTCTTGGTCAGCTCAAAATGAGACTCCAAGAGTCAGAAACACCATCTCAATGGCCCAGAGTTCATTAGTAGTCATTGCAAGGCAGGCAAGAACTTGCAATTCGGAAAGACAGAGCATAAAGAGAGCTCCTCTCTAGACCTTCAAAGCACTTAACATTTGGGTTCCCAGGACACCAACTGAAAGAGTTTGCAAATGTCTAAGTAGGTGAAAAGTGATGTATTGTTCTATCAGTCTCCTTCAACTTACGGATTTGAAAAGTAGCATGTCTGCTTATGACCAAATTACGACAGGTCTTCAAAAGGTCATGGAAAAATGTGTATTATAAAAACAACTGCACAAAAGTGTTTTATTAAATTATTATTATTAAGTTTATTTCTCTCATGAGAGTGAGACCGAAAGAGAAAGGCAGGTGGGGCTAGCAGGTGGCGTGGTGGTTAAGGCATTGGATCCCACATGACCAACTATGCAGTTCAAGTCCTGGACCCAGCTTGAAAATCATGCAAGGAGCATGGTCGTCTGTACCCAGAATCCCGAGAGGAGAATGCAGGAGAAAGGCCTGTGGTGTGACCATTCCCCTGGGGGTGGTTTCTCTCACTCTCTCTCTCTCTCTCTCTCTCTCCAGTGAGCGTCTATACCCTATACCCAAAAAAAAACATCAAAAGGAGGAGAAAGAAAGAGGAGGACAAAGGCAAGCACTTTCAGCAGAGCCTCTCCCCACAACCCCTCCAGCCTTTCCGCCCACCAGGGTCACGTACAGATCAACTGGGACCAAACCCATGACCTCCACATGAGTCCAGCTCCCCATGAGCGGTATGTTTCTACTATACACTGAACCAGCTCAATTTCAACATGTTTTCCATACAAAAGTAAACTCACTTTAATTCCACTTTCTCCATGAACTTTTGAGCCAGCGTGCGACTGTGAAATAATTGATCTCTATTCTTCGGAAACAGAGAAAGACACAGAATCTGAGGGACGTTGCAGATTAAAGGGACATCACAGGTGTGGTGGTGAGGCACTGCACTCCCACATGGCTGACCACGGTTCGAGTCCCAGACCTGGTAGTTTACTTTTTTACTTTCATTCTCTCTCTCTCTCATGAGTCCAAATCTTAAAATAATAATAGTAATAAATATAATTAAATAAATATAAAGGGATATGATAATCAAATCAAAACATGATTCTAGACTGGATCATGTATGGAAAAAGAAAATTGCTATAAATAACATTATTCAGTCAACTGGCTAAACTGGAACAAGGATGGTGTTAGCACTAAGATTTAGAATATTATAATCAATATTGTACTATATAAATGTAATGTTCAGATTAGAATGCTTCAGTGAACTCAACATTAGATATTGCATTTGATACTGTGTTGAACTGATAAAAGTTTTTGTTCTGATTTAGAATTCTGTCTTCCACTTAGAATTAGAATATTGTGTTCAGATTTACGATATTGTATTTATGTTTTCTGAAGTGATAGCTACTCAGGTTTGTAAAAGAATGTCTTTATTCTCAGAAACAACAGTATTAAAAGATAAAGAGGAGGTAGGCAATGTAGTGGATAAGGGCACTGGATTATCACATGGCCAACCATGGTTCAAGTCCCAGACCTGGTGGCTTGCTTTCTCACTTTCCCTTTCTCTCTCTCTCTCTTTCTGGTCAAATCAAAAAATAACAATAACAAATGGAATTAAATAAACAAATAATTATTTTTTTAAAAAAGATTAAGGGGTAGATTATGTATGCAACTTACTCCTAAATGGTTCAGGGTTTCAGGGGGGAAATACATAAACACTCACTCACACACACACACACACATACAAACACACACTCACAGAGGCACTTCAAAAAGTTTGTGGAGGGACCAGCAGATGATATAAGGGTTATGTCACTGGACTCCCACGTGGCTGACTGATTCGAGTCCTGGACCTAGCAACTTAAAAACTCACACCGGGCATGTGTGCATGTGTGCACAAAATCCTGAGAGGAAATTGGAAAGAGAAGGGATTGTGGCATGGCCCTCCTTCCTAGGGGGATGATTTCTCACTTTCTGTCTCTGTCTCTCTCTCTGGAGAGCACACACACCCTATTGCAAAACTCTCTCTAAAAAAAAAAGTTTGTGGAAAATAGAATTAAATGAGTTTATTTTGGTGCAAAAATTTAAAATCCATACATAGCTTCCTCATAATATGCACTTTCCACAAACTTTTTGAGAATAATATATATATATATATATACACATACACACACATATATATGTATTTTTATAAACATATATATGTATGTGTGTATATATGTTTATAAATGTACAGAAAGACAGAGAGAGAGAAGCTATGGTTTGATGAATTTTGATGACTAGACATACAAAATTTTAAGCAAGATGAGTTGTTTTAAGCCACAGCTTTGGGGTATCCAGAGCATCTTCTAAAACAAAACACCTAAAATCTTTGCAGTTTTGTTTTTCACATGTATACCCTTAATCCGCCTGGAAGTGTGTTCCTGTAAGGTGTGAGGGAGGGGTTCAGTTTGGTGAACAATGTCCAAATAAGTTATCAAAAACTCCCCCCTTTCCTGTGGCCAGTCCCCTCTGTGTCCATGGTGTGTGATCCTTGCTCTGCATTCTGACACATTGTTCTGTATGTCTCCCCAGGAGGGTACTATACAGTCTTAATTATTACCGCCACTTTATCAAAATATCAGTTTGTGATTGTGATAGACGGTCATCCACATTGTTCTTCAAGGGTGTTTTAGCTCTCTTTGGCTCTCATTTTCTTACACATTTGACAACCAGCTTGGTAAATTCCCTTCATTTCTCATTCACTGTGAGAATCAAAAGAGATCGTAAGTAAGCATGGGCAGAATCTGCGGATGCAGAGAACAATTTCAGTCTTAGTTGATCATATTTATATCCTCAAACTTGGGAAAAGGTACCAATGGCCGTCTTGTTCTCTCACTTCTGAAATGATCCCCTTATTTTATAAATGTTCATCATGTGCTGTTCTATTTTATTTATTTATTTCTTCCAGGGGAGAAGTAGAGTGACAGAGATTGTAGGAACACCCCCAACAGGGTCTTCACGCCACAGTGCAGCCAGAATCCCAACATTGAGTAGAATGAGCCCTCGGTACCCATGGGGCCCAGTTGGGTTACCCTCTGCTGCACCACTGTCTGGCCTCCATGTCCCGATTACTGAGGGCAGCTGAGAGCGTTACACTGGCTCCTATTAGGGATCTTTCCAAATTGGCCTTACTAAAATTGTAATTTTTAAAAAATCTCCTTTGGGATTGTTAGAACCACATGTCAGCTGGCAAACAATTTTGAAAACTGGAAAGGATTCAGCCCTGCTGTCAGTCTGTGGTCAGATTCCAATTTGAGCCACTGGACAATCCAAGTAAGGATTTGGGAAGCCAGTGTAAAACACAGGCTTGCCTCTGTGACAAATCAGTACACGTGGGACCAGGTAGGAGCACAGGGACATACAGACTCTTTATCGTGAGTTTTCACACTGTATTTTTTTTTTCCTTTTATTGCTGGAGGACATGTGTGCTCTCCAGAGAAACAGAGAGAAAGAGAGAGAGGGAGAGAGCACTTCCCAGTGGGGCATGGGCACACTGCAATCCCCTTTCCTCCATTTCTCAGTCCTGTAGAGATTTTGAGCATGTGCACACATGCAGCAAGTATGCTTTTCAAGCTGCCAGAGCTAGAATTTGAACCACGGTCAGATGGTGGGAATCCAGCTCCCGTAACTACTAGGCCACAGGGCTGGTCTACACACTGTTTTGTTTGTTTTTTTGTTTACTATTAAGCACATGTGCTGTCGGGAGAGAAAGAAAGAAAGCAAGAAATCACCCCCTGGGTGGAAGGTCATGCTGCAGTCCCTTCTCCTCCAGTCTCCTTTGGGGATTTGGGGCACACACATACGCATGTGTACCTAGTGTGATTGTCAAGCCACTGGGTCTAGGACTCAAACTACACCTTTGCCTACTGGGATCCGGCCATCTTAACCACCAGAGCACTTGCTGGCCCCCACACACTGTATTTCTTTTTTTCTCTAAGATTTTTGCCGTAGGGCATGCATGCCTACCAGAGAGAGAGAGAGACAGTGAGAAGGAAAGTGAGAAATCACCCCCTCTTGTTGGGAGGGATGGTCCCCTGCAGTCCCTTCTCTGTTCTCCTCCTGGGATTTCAGGCATGCATGTATGACTTTCAAGCCACCAGGTCTGGGACTCGAACCATGGTCAGCAATGTAGGAGTTCAGCACCTTAACTACCACACCACCTACTGGCCCCCAAACAGTATTTTTTAAAGCATTTTTGTTCTGTATGAACTTGACCCTAAATCGAGTCAGTGCCATGAATATTTTAATAATCTTAATAATTATTACTTCACCTTATTTTAAATACTAATTTTACAAAACTAAGAATATGTTTTTAAAAAGTATTTAACCATGATCCAAAGATAAATGTTATGAATATTTAACAGGATTTTCATCTGTTTTCCAGTTGTAATACACAGGGTTTTTTTTTTTTTTTCCCTTTCTTTGAAGTTTACTGATTTATTTCTTGAGAGAGAAAACTACCTTTCACAGAGTTTCACCACTCTGTAATTCTTCCCCCAGCCTTCTGGCCAGCCAGGATCACAGCCCAGATGTTGAGAATTAGTGGGGACTCAAACCCAGACCCCCGTGCAGCTTCAGCATCAGACAGTAGCACACCCTGCCATCTATGCCCCCTCTAAGGGCCGTTTATTATTAGCATACAGTAGAGCAGGTACTGGGGGTGCAAGGTCCTTTTTCAGTACAAGCACACAATGTGCGGTAATTACACAGGGCGACTCCCAGACCCATCATCTCCAAGACTCTCACTGGTGCTGGGCATTCAGAGCCTTCCCTTCTGTGACTTGGGGACACACAGTGAGTCATCACCTAGGTCCTCCAACTGGAAACTGTTCCTCCTGTCCGCAGTGTCGTTTCCATGAACAATACCCCTGTGTTCCCTGCCCGCACCCTTCCACGACAGTCATTCATCACTCTACCTCTATGAGGCTATTTTTCAAATTTTCCGCATGAAAGAGAGATATGGCTTGTTTTTTTTGTTTGTTGGTTGGTTGGTTGGTTGGTTTCCCAACAAAAGAGAGATGGAGGTATTTTTGTCAATGTGGCACCCTGCCCAGCAGCCTCCTGCCCTAGGACCACAGGTGCAGGTCATGGCACCTGGGCTGACTCCACCGGGCTGAAGCAGACAGGGCTTCCATGTGAACTGAGCCGCTTAACCGCAGTGGGGCCCTTCTTCTTACCACGTGGCTGGGCCCTAGAGGTGAATTTTGACTGAACTCAGCCACATGAAGGATTCTGCCCACTTGGCAGAAGAGTGGGTTAGGGCTGAATGTGACATGTAGTTCTGACCAATGAGGAGTGAGAGGAGGCTTGCTGGGTGAGGGGAGTTGCTTAATGATGGACATGGGGGCAATAAGTGGTCTGGCGTGGTGCCTGGGCCTTCAGGACTTCAGGGACCTTGGAGGAAGGTGCCTGAAGGAAAAGTCTAAGGACTAGGCAGAAACTCCCTGCTCTCCAGCAATGTCCCATCTGCAGATCCAGCTCTACACGGCACTGAGTAGGTCTAGCTATACACCTGCTGCTCACACAGCACATGACTGACACACCAGCCCTCCTCTGAAGGTGGGGATTTTGCTGTGTTCCTGGAGCTCTTTTTCTTTTTTTAAAGAATTATTTATTTCGTTTTATTTACTATTATTTTTAAGAGTTTTTTGGCCTTAGGGCACATGCACTTGTGGAAAAGATTCAGAGACAGTAAGAGGGAAAGTGAGAAATCACCCTCCAGGGGATGGCCATCCCACAATCCTTTCTCCTCCATTCTCCTCCCGGATCTTGGGCTCACACGCACACAACCCAGTTTGACATTCAAGCCATCGGGTCCAGGACTTGAACCATGGTAAGCCATGTGGGAGTGCAGAAATATAACTTCTATGCCATCTACTTGGTCCCTATTTTTATTTTTAATTCATCAGAGATGAGAGAGATAGAGAGAGAAAAAGAGGCAAAGTGAGAAAGCAAGCCTCCAGGTTAGGGACTAGAACCACTGTCAGCCATATGGGAATCCAGCACCTTAACCACCACGCCACCTGCTGGCCCCTGGAGCTCTTCTTAAACTTTTTATGTAGACCATTCCAACAAGTCATTATGTCATAGTGTACTTAGCTGGTCCTGTATTGTTAAATAATGATGATAGCACTCTTCCATATTTGACCCTCTAGTCACTAGTATGCAAATGGCCAGTCATAGCAGTAACGATAATAGCTAGCATTTGGATTAGGTTTCAGAATCAAGGTTATGGTGAGGTCGGAAATGGCTCTACTTTTTTCTTTGTTCAGAAACAACCTACATGCCATCAACCTTTTCCTTCTTTTCTGTCTTTTCCTTGAAAACTTTAAAAAATTCACATGTAACTTCATCTTAATCCAAGCTATTTTATAGTTTAACTTTATAGTTTAATTTTTTTACTCATCATTTATATTACATATTAGTCTACATTTTAGCAGAGAACGTTTTCTTATGCATTTAAAATGGCCTAAATTAGTGATTCTAGTTCCTTTCTTTTTTATACTATACATAGACATTTGCCCACCTCTTGTTTGTTTTGTTTTTTCCTAATTTACCAGTGGACTCATGCACTCTCAGGAGAGAGACAGAGAGAGAAAAGGAGAAGAGAAAGCACTCCTTATGAGGAAGAGTCGCACCACAATTCCTTCTCTGTCCTCCTCTCGAGGGAGAAACATGCCTCGAGCCAGCACTTACGTGTAAAGCTTCCGGGTCTGGGACTCGAGCCCCACAGGCAGCCATATGGAGTCTAGTTAACTTAACCACCAGGTCATGGCTGCCCTGTTTACTTTTTTAAACTGTAGCAATTATTAGGACTATTTATTTCATTTTCATCCTGCCTTTATCTTTGTTTATTTCTTCTTGTGTCTTTTTTCTTTTATTTAGGGATTTTTGTTTATTGGTTTTGTTTTGTTTTGTTTTCCAGGAGCAAAAGAAAGAGGACCCCTAACAGGGTCTTTTTTTTTTTTAATTCCCAGAGAGTGTGTACACTAACCAGAGGTGGGTGTAGAGAGAGAAAGCACCTTTCAATGGGGCGTGGCCACATCATAATCTTTTTTCCTCTATTCCTCCTTGCTATGACAATTTTGAGTATACACGCACAAAAAAATAAAATAAAATAAATTAGGTGTTTTTCAAGCTGCCAGGGCCAGGACTTGAACCATAGTCAGCCATGTGGGATCTTATTCCCTTAACCACTATTTTTTTTATTTTTATTTTTTAAGTTTTTGCCATAGGGCATGTGCACTCACTGGAGACAGAGAGAGGGAAAGTGAGAAATCACCCTATGAGGGGGATGACCATGTCGCAATCCTTTTTCCTCCATTCTCCTCTCAGGATTTTGAGCACCCACATACAAGCCATTGGGTCCTGGACTCTGACCAGGATCGGCCACGTGAGAGTCCAGCACCTTAACCTCCACGCCGACCCTGCCCCTCCTAACACATTCGTGACATTTTACTCAGAAACATCCCGTGAACCTTCTTCCACACCAGTGGATATGCTTCACCGTTACAGTTTTAGTGGTTGCACACGTCGTGAGTATAACGTAAGTATGGAGCAGGAGTGCGGCTTCCTGGCCTCCTGCCCCAAATGCAGCCCCGCGTTGGCGAAGGAAAAGGCTCAGAGCCGAGAATGAGGAGTACACGTAAGGGCAGGGGCGAGAACCTGCGGGGGGCAGGGATGCGGGGAGGCAGGGACAGGCCAGAACATGTGTGGCCTGGGGCAGCGGCCTCTGGCAGGGAGGTCCAAGCATAGCCTTCAGGCCCTTCGCCAGCAGCTGCCCACCAGGACTCTGCCTCAGGCAACCTCAAGTAGTCAGAATGAATGAGAGAGGGAGGGCTCGTCATTTTCTGTGTGTGCAGCGAGGAGCTGGTGACATTCCGTTTTCAAATAGTATTTGGCTCTGGTTTGAATGTCCCCAAGCTCACTTACTACAGTTCATTGCTGGGAAGGTGTTAAGAAAAGACTTAGTTTGATTACTGTATGAAAGGTGGAGCCCTTAGGAAGTCACTAGGCATGGGGTGGAGCCCCCTGTTGAGTCCCGGTGGGATTATAAGAAGAGGGAGTGAGACAGAAGACTCCTGAACACAGACACGTGTGCTCTGCCCTCCGCATGCTGTGGCTGTGGACCTCCAATACGGGAGCCAAAGAGACCGCTCCCTGATCAATCACCCAGGCTCTGGTACCTTTTCTTGTCAGCAGCAGAATGGACTAGAATAGTACAGAACTAGCGTAGAATGAAAAAACAGGCCAAGGAAGAGCCCCTGTTTTCTCCTGGGGCAAGGGGGGAGTGCCAAGCCTTGCCCAGTGGATCACTGTCCATCTGCAGCAGAAGCCCTGGGAAGCCACAGTTCCACACCTCCTCCCGCTGCTCCACCTTCCCCAGGAAGCCCTGCACTTCCCCTCTTCAGGGGCAGCCTCTCCCTGGGCCCTGGACTTCAAATGGCCATGAGTCATGCCCTGTCCCATAAAGTTTACAGAGCAGCATGTGGTTTAAGTGCTATAGCCTGAAAAATAAATAAAACTCTTTAAACATTCAGAGCTAGAAAATAGCTAACAGGGGGCCAGTAGGTGGCATGGTAGCTAAGGTGCTCACTGCAGTTCAACTCCCAGACCTGGAGGCTTGAAAATCATACTGGGCATGTGAGCATGTGTTCCAAAATCCAGAGAGGAGAATGGAGAAGGGATTGCAGCATGGCCATACCCCCTGGGGGAGTGATCTCTCCCTTTCTCTCTCTCTGTATCTCCAGTGAGCACACACGTCTATAGCAAAAATCTCTCTACTAAATAAATAAATAAAATAGCTAACAGTAAACTCAGGGCACAGGGATGGTGGAGATGTTCGTGTTAGTAACAGAAGGAACTCCCTGAGAAGCAAACACACCACAAAACATTTATTTTATAATAAGTACGTAGCAAAAGAAACTTAGGAAACCAAACATTCAAGAAATCCAAGTCACTAAAGTGCTTTTCCAACATAAAAGACCAAGAAGTCTGGCCTGACCATAAAGCAGCTTCCAGAGAGCCAATCTCTGTGGAACTAAGCGCCATGCTATTTCAGAAGCGGGGGTGGGGATTGGGGGCTATGGCTCTCTGTCGTTTATGAGTGCCAACGTGTGTAACCCTTCAAATGACACTCAGGGAGCACAGTTACTACCTAACAAGAATGCTGGAATGTCCAAGGTCAAGTTCAAGGTCAAGGTCATGGTACTATAATTCATCCATGCACCTGCATGGATTCTTCCCGTCATTAGAGAAGTTTGTATTTTCTAATTCAGGGCAAGGATGTCGGAAGCGACCTATTCATCTACAAAGCACATTGAACAACATCACCAATGATGCATCAACAGTAAAAATGCTTTTTGAACTTCAAATTGTCCCCGCTCCAGTTCTACAAGAGAAAATAGCGATGTTACACCAAATTAACTGGTTAATTTACCATTAATAACCAATTAACTGGTGCCTTTAAAGAATGGTTTCCATTCTAGAATGAAATGGAATTTCCCCCAAGCCACCCATCTGTCCTCTTAAAGCAGGTGGCATTGCGTTCTGTCCTGAACTGTAAGAAATTGAACGGAATGAGAGTATTGGTCTTGGGCCATTTTTGTCCTTTGAAAAATGCCCTGAGGAACATGCGCATTTCCAGCTTTGAAGGTGCGCCTGATCTCAGAGGGCTCCGGCCTCCCCTGGAGAGTGGGGGCGCCCTTGCGCACTGGCTTCCCGGGGTGCCTTCTCGGCTTCCTGCCGGGCGGAGCTGGAGAGATCCATGGCCACGTCTTCCACGCAGTTCTCAGGGCGCGCCTGGTCGGAGCCTCTCGGCTGCGCTGCCTGGCTCTGGCTGGAACCTCCTCTGAGGTGGTCAGAGCTCCAGAGTCCTGCCGGTTCGTCTTCGCTTCCTGATTTCCTTACCATCCCGGTGGACTTTTTGTGCATCCCTTGCAAAAAGGAAAAGAGAGGGGGGGAAAGGTATCTTTAAACTCAGCAATCAAGTACATCTCTTCCGTATGGTCGTTTTGTAAATCCCAATAGAACTGTCCGTGTCATGCCCGTCTCTGGAGCCCGCAGGAGAGCCGGGTGGGAAACTCCCTCCATCAAAGCTGAAAAGCGTGTGCCGCCTAGGCACACGGGGAAAGGCGCTTTATTTAGATGGCACGGGGACAGCACTGCGCCCACTTTACGTGCGGTCACCAACGCCGGTAAGCACCCTCCCTGCTGCCCGAAAGTGTCCGTCCTCGTGGGCGTGGTCCCCTGCCCCAAATTCTCTCTCCGATCTCTTCAGTCCCCAGGACAAATCGAGACTGCGTTGTCCATAGTAGCTCCAGGCCTCAGCACTGTCTGCTGGGTATTCGAAACTGCTTCCTTCTCAACCATTACCTGACCCTATACGCCCGGGGCGCCCCTCTCCAGTCGGTCCTGGGCTCTGAGTGCCGCCCACTGTTCTCTGGCCACAGCGAGCAGAGCAGTGGGGGCACCTGCCTAAAGGGTCCAGCGCCGAAGCTGGGGCCTCGCCACACGGAAAACCGAGGAGACCGATTAGCTTTGCGGCAGGAGGCCAAGTGCAGAACCCGGAGCAGAAACTCTCCTCCCCAATGACGTATAGACGAGCGTCTAGCCCCAGGGCCCACTGCCCACGTCCTGCCTTCCGTTTCTAAACCCCTAACACCACCCAAGCCTGGGGAAACGCGCGTCATTCCACTGCTGTTCCAAACACACGCTTCCCGACTGAAATAGCCCGCGCAGGGTCTACCCGGTTCCCGGGAGAGGCCATCGCCCAGCTCCTCCAGGCCTCGCAGTGGATCCGAAGTCAGGCGTGAGGTTCCGAGCCTGAATCCGCTTGGCCTTGCACTCCCCTCCGCCCCGCCCCGCCCGGCGCTCGCAGCAGGGCCCGCGTCCTCACCCAGGAGCCAGGGCGCGCAGGCGCCGCGCAGGCCGCCCTCGGCGGCGCCGAGCAGAGACTCGGGCAGCGGGATGCAGTGCCGCACCATGGCGCCGTAGAGCCCGTACTCGGCCATCACGCTGCTGCCGCCCCAGCGCTTCTCGCGCTTGCGCCACTTGGCCCTCCGGTTTTGGAACCAGACCTGGTTAGAGGGGCAGGGAGGCAGACTCGGTGAAGAACCGCGCTGCGGAGCGCACGCGGCGGGCACCCCTGCACCCGGGGTTCCGACCCGGACCAGCCGCCCGCCGCGTCCTGCCCCGCGCTCCCCCGGCCGCCCGGGGGTCGGCGGGGGG